CATAATTTACAAAACAATACTAAATAAAAAAATTGATTTGTTGAAAACAACTTTGTATTTTCTCTAATTCTTTTTGTACCATCTCAAACATTTTTTCTATATCCTTACCTAAACAAAAAAATGTATCGTTAGCAAATAAAACACATTTGAAAAGTACTGACACATTTACTAAGTCATTTATATATAAAATAAATAACTTAGGTCCCAGTACAGAGCCTTGAGGGACTCCACATGTGATATTACGAAGTTTAGATCTTACACCATTTATTTGTACAGTTTCCTATCTTTCAAATAACTAGATACCCATTGCAGTGCCGAGCCTCTAATACCATATTTACTTTGAAGAGGTTTTACAGGAAGTGTGCGCTGTGTGTCTGCAGAAGTGCGTCCTGTACTGGCCCGAGAAGAGGGGGATCTACGGGAAGGTGGAGGTGCTGGTGAACGGCGTCAGAGAGTGTGAACACTTCACGACCCGCAGCCTCACGCTGAAGGTACGAGCCACGTCGTCCTGCAGAGAAACCCGTCTGTTTAACGTTAGGACTAAAGTCTCCTCTGTGTCCGGGCAGTGTGGGAATCAAACCCGCACCCTGCAGCATTACTGGTACACCTCGTGGCCCGACCACAAGACCCCCGACTCCGCCCTGCCGCTGCTGCAGCTCATGGCCGACGTGGAGGCCGACAGACGTGCTGCGGACGCTGCAGGACCAGTTATAGTCCACTGCAGGTACCACACTGACGGGGGGAAGTACTGAAAGTGAAAGTACTGAAAGTTAAAATTCAGTACTTGGTAAAATTACAAATCCTCAAAAAAAATAAAGTACCTGTGACATGCCTTCAACTACAAAAAAATCAAAGAAAACATCTTTATATTTAAGAAAGTTGGAATAATACACACAATTTAACCCGTTTTGTCCCATAACTGCATATTTTCTTTTGAACTTGACTCAGCCAAAGTGAAACAGGAAGTGACATCAAAGGGGAACTCTTTAACAAAGAAAACTCTGGTTTTTGTTTATTGAAACAATATTATTTAAACTCTGACTCTTCATCTCTGATAGAGACTCAAAATAATCTAAAGAAATATCAGATTCTTCTCTGCAGTTTGTGTTGTTAGCTGTTGTAGCATCGCTCTGTTTACATGCAGRCATTCCCCTCTGACATCACTTCCTGTTGTTTTACAGGCAAATATCTCAACAACTGTTCATCTCAGCGACATGAAATTTCTTTTGCATTATTTTATCAATGACCTCCTTCGAATAATGAATTCCAATGCATTACAAAAATTTGACGTCACAGGTACTTTAAGTACTGCAACAAAGTAATTGTACTTAGTTACTATACACCTCTGCTGACAGGACTCCATTACCCATGGTGCTTTGCTTTGCAGTGCTGGGATTGGCCGGACAGGCTGCTTCATCGCTCTGACGATAGGCTGTCGGCAGCTGCAGGTGGAGGGGCTGGTGGACGTCCTGAGTATCACCTGTCAGCTCCGAGCCGACAGGTAAAACACACCTTTCACAGCGAGTTGTCTCCTTAATCCTGTTTGATTTATGTAAACGGCTTTAATCCAGATTCTGATCTAAAGCATTTAATCTGGAATGAAAAGGTGCAGAGTGAAGAAAAGTTATTATTTAAAGAAACTTCAACAATAATCTCATCATTTACAAAAACATGTTATTTTTATTCTGTGTGCCGTATTATACCAAACACCTTTCTGTTTCTGGCCCCTCCCCTTCAGAGGGGGTATGATCCAAACAGGTGAGCAGTACGAGTTCGTCCACCACGCCTTGAACCTGTACGAGTCCCGCCTCTCAGCAGGAACTGGCCAATGAGCTGCTCCCGCTGCAGGTATGAGCTCAGCTGTGGGAGTTCACCTTGAGCTGCAGGTTCTGGATCTGATGGACAACTAAATGGGACAGAAGTGGGCGGAGCCAGGGGAGGACAGGTGTACTCCTCCTCCTCCTCCTTCGTGTTTTCTTGGTGAGCGATGAAACTCCAGGGACCTCCTGTCACTCAGCTGATCCTGGACTCGTGTTTGATCCCTGTCTCTGCAGGATTTCAATGTTTTAATGTGATTTTTTTTATCAGACAGCTGTTTGAACAACTGTTAGCTGCTGTTTGAGTATTTATCCAACACCTGCAGCCCTGTTCGCTTTAAAAACACACAAATAACCTGGATTATAAAACCACTTCAGTTATCTGACGTGTCACGTTAACTTTCACTCTGTAGATTCATATTCATTAGAAACTTCACAGCCTGTCGTGATGTGATGAATAATATCACAGCACAGGGATCTGTGTGGTAATTATTCAATTTAATAATAAAAATAAGTTTAGTAACAATTAACAAACCACAAAATAATTTTATTAAAATCAACTGATTTACCAGAAAACATGAAAATCAAATAATTTCCCAACAAAAACAGTTTCCAGTTGTGACATCATAAAGATAATCAACCTGTTACCTGACAATCTTATTATAAAATCAAATATTTACCTACAGA